GCGCGCCGGGGAGCCCAGGCCTGGAGGCGCAGGGCCGGGGCCAGGAGACGTGAGCGCAGGCCTGGGGCTGATCGTGATTGGGTGAGTCCTGATCTGGGAAGGGAAGTGGCTGAACTCTGGCGGGTGATGTTTGTGCAGTGTGCGTGATTTGTTTTCTGCCTGCAAAGCTGGAATCCGTCTCTTCTGTTCCCTTGCATCCATTCATGACATTCTCGTGCTCACAGCACGCGGGCCGCCCAGGTGAAGTCGCTCACTGGCTCTCAGAAGCATCCATGGCATCTGATTTGACTTCTGCAATCCCCAGCCCAGGTTGCTTCTAGCAGGTCCCGTGTTAAGTCAGGACAGCCTGGGTGTTTTATAGGGAGGGGCAGGTTCGAGAAGGCCAGTTCATTCCAGAAAATACCCTGCATTTCAGCCCATGCAGCATACAGGGCTCATTTCAGACAACCCTTCTTAACAGGAATACAAAATTGAAGCTGCGGTGGCTGTTGAATACTTGAATTTCTACAGGCACTGGTTTGTGGGCGATCAGGAGGCAGCTTTTTCAAAGTGAAAGTAGATGATCCAGTCATTTCCTTGACAACTAGAATGGAGTGACTCACGGAGACTGGGACTCGGCCTTAACTTTGATACATCAACAAATTAATCCACTGTGGTTCAGTTGTTGCATTTCCGTTTACACCAAAAAGTAGGTCCTGTCTGCAAATGAACAGCCCTAAATGTACCCACTGAGCGGAATTTTTTCATCTCTCTATATAAGGAACTACCATAGAACTGTTCTATGGCTACATGGTTTGTAATTAGAGCTTAAACGTTCCACCACATCAAGTTTTAACGTTTGTAGGATGCATCCTGTAAGTTGTGTACATTTTCCTAGACTGTAGGGCTGATGTAGGAGTTGATAGTTTACAGGGAATTAAAGATGTTCCATATATTGCATGAAAGAACAGCACAATAATGCATGACTGGAAGACAGAGAAACCAACGAAGCAAAACAAGACATAAAAAGAAAAACAAAAGGTAAATGTTACAGATTCCGTTTTTAGTTTACAACGTCAGTAACCTGTGGTTTGTGGAAAGACCAGCTCTATCCCTGTTGTCCTTGTGACCTTGGGCAGTCATTGAGTGGATGGGCTCAAGTGCCTCTTCAGAATTCTCCTGAATTCTGTGGTCAAATGTATAAGCCATTACACTGAACCTGGAAGTTCAAGAAGTTCCACAGAAGTCCAGAGACTTTGAAGACACGGGGAAGAGCAGAGGAGAAAAAGTTGGAGAAATGTTCTGAAAGTCGTTTCAAGGCATCCATTTTCTTGTAATCCCCACCCCCATACCTGGCCAGCACCCCTGTCTTGGAGACCTCGTGTGCCAGGTTCTTGTTCTGACCTCTAAGAAGGGTTCGGGAAATCTGGAGAAGGCTGTGCGTAGATTAAATAGGAGTCCAGAGACGAAATATAATTTTGAAAGGCATTTGGGGGGCAGAGGAGCCTAGTTTAAAGGAAACTAAGATCTCCTCGTCCCAGGACCCCATGCTTTTTATTAACACAATTTGTCCTGAGGCGAGGCAGAGATATACACTTCAAAGGGTCAGGGTTTCCTATACAGAGGCATTGTCAGATTTGGGGGAATTAGCCTACAGCTGTTCAGGTGTTTGGCCAGTAGGAGGCAATAACATGTAGATTAAGATGCCCTGAGGTGTCTGGCAGCAAGCAATCATCCATTTTCAGGTTTGGGGAAATGCCATCAGTCATTCCCAGATTCAGCCCTGCTGTCATGCTGGAATTGGTTTCCAGCACTCGTGGTCTCACTACACTTTGAAGTGAGCAGGAGTGTTCCTCTTGGCAAGGATATGGTGTAGTGTGAAGAGAGAAACTAGTTCTTCCATTTTGTAAATCATTTTCTTCTTAGTTTGAACTACTTCCTTCCCACTCCTCTCACCCCACCCCATGACCTCAGAAAAAGGGTGAATATTCTGGAAGAAGAAATTATTTAATTGGAAACAAAAACAAATGGGTATGCGTTTTCAAGTTGCACAAAAGGAGAGGAGGTGCTAAGTAGGAGCAAGAGAAGCTAAATGAGTGCAGGAGGGACTCCATTCTGTTGTAATCTCCATGTTTTGGAGATATCAGCTACTGTGAATTTTCTTTCTTTATAAAGGTTAAATAAGTTCCAGAAATGTCTTTAATTTGGAGAATATTTTTGAGTCTGGTCACAGTGTAATCTTTTGATTTAAGCATGAACATTCAGAGTAATCAGAGAGCAAAAACATATTCATTAGAAGCGCTGATTGAATCTCTGCCTATTGATTTGTTTTTCAAGAAACAGGAAATCTTTACCTGACAGGCATTGGTTTAGGTGCTACAGGTAAAGAAAGCTAATAAAGTGTCAAGATCATCATAATAAAAAGCCAAGTATTGAAAGAGAGCTTAAGCAACATAAGTGCCCAGCCATAGAGGAGTGGATAAAGATGGTGTGATGGTGTGGAATATATATATGTGTGTGTGTGTGT